AAGAAAATAATGGCATATAAACACTGTTTTGTCCATATTCACTGAGTTTTAGAAGGTGATACTGTGTCTGTCTTAAATAAACAGGCATCATAACCATTTTTGCTTGTGGCCCAGTGTGAACAACCTAGGCGAGCCATTGGTTCAGTCAGGGGAGATACAGACTCAGGTCTGTTCTGTGCAGGTTGGGGCAAGGTCACTACTGTTTGCCTATTTCTAATCACTGAGGAGAACTTAAAGCACTGACTATGGTTGTGAGACTAGAAAGAACCAAGTTAAAATTATGCCTTATATCTTCAGCACAATGTCCCCCTTCTGTAATTTTCCTTGGTGTTATATCTTGCATTTTTCTAAAAAGGAAAAAGAGAGTGAAAGAGCAAAAACCTAATTATTGAAACTCTCTGTCCTCAAACTCTTTTCTGAAACTTGCTCTAAGGATGAGGGGTATTTTTCAGGCCTCACAAAAGGATGCCCTTTCTTCCTTGGCCAACATGAATGAGAATTTTCCTCTTTCTAGTCAAGAAGACAGACTTCTTATGAATGAGGCTTTCTAGGGAGGGGGAGGGGGTTGTCTAAAATCTTGTGTTTATACTTCAAAAATCAAAGCCAGTTTAACTTAAATAATGTATTACTTTATGAATTTCACTTCACTGCATTAGTTGTATTAATTTTATACATGACTAGACAATAAGGCCAAAATTCAATGCCTTTATTTTTATTTTTTAAATCTATTTCTAGCATGGTGACTGGCACTCGGTGAATGAATAAACAGTTAAACAAATCAATGAATTCAATGATTCTTAAAATGACATTGTAGAGTTAGTGGGTGATGGAACTATTTTATAATAACAATTGTGGCAGACTGGGAGAAATTGAAAATTACGTTGTTTGGAGCTGGAATGAATATTGTAGTAAGTATTTGTTGAATGAATGTGAATTAAATTGGAGTCTATCCATTGTTTCACCAAAGAGGAAACAAAGCACAAAAGATATTGACTGATTTTCTGATGGTTCTATGTCTAGTTAGTCTAATAACTGGTACTGGAATACATTTTTGAAATACTCTTTTTATAAACAATTTCAAATATTTTTTAAAAGTCCAGGAGATATTATAACAAACTCCATGTTTTCATCAGCAGCATCAAACATTTTAAATTCATAGCCAGTATTGTTTTATCAATAGCCACCCCTACACATTGCTGTCTCAAAATTATTTTTATGAAAATACCAATAAACATATAATTTTATTTCTAGGTGTTTCAGTATGTACCTGTAAATGATAGAGGCAAAAGATACATGATACCATAAGCTATCACTATTACATTTTAATGTCACATCTTGATAATTTCTTTTTTTTTTTTTAATTTATTTATTATTATTAATAGGTACATTGCATAACTTTGTTACATGTATACTTGTGCCATGTTGGTGTGCTGCACCCATCAACTCGTCATTTACATCAGGTATAACTCCCAATGCAATCCCTCCCCCCTCCCCCCTCCCCATGATAGGCCCCTGTGTGTGATGTTCCCCTTCCTGAGTCCAAGTGATCTCATTGTTCAGTTCCCAACTATGAGTGAGAACATGCGGTGTTTGGTTTTCTGTTCTTGTGATAGTTTGCTAAGAATGATGGTTTCCAGCTGCATCCATGTCCCTACAAAGGACACAAACTCATCCTTTTTGATGGCTGCATAGTATTCCATGGTGTATATGTGCCACATTTTCTTAATCCAATCTGTCACTGATGGACATTTGGGTTGATTCCAAGTCTTTGCTATTGTGAATAGTGCTGCAATAAACATACGTGTGAATGTGTCTTTATAGCAGCATGATTTATAATCCTTTGGGTATATACCCAGTAATGGGATGGCTGGGTCATATGGTACATCTAGTTCTAGATCCTTGAGGAATCGCCATACTGTTTTCCATAATGGTTGAACTAGTTTACAATCCCACCAACAGTGTAAAAGTGTTCCTATTTCTCCACATCCTCTCCAGCACCTGTTGTTTCCTGACTTTTTAATGATTGCCATTCTAACTGGTGTGAGATGGTATCTCATTGTGGTTTTGATTTGCATTTCTCTGATGGCCAGTGATGATGAGCATTTTTTCATGTGTCTGTTGGCTGTATGAATGTCTTCTTTTGAGAAATGTCTGTTCATATCCTTTGCCCGCTTTTTGATGGGGTTGTTTGTTTTTTTCTTGTAAATTTGTTTGAGTTCTTTGTAGGTTCTGGATATTAGCCCTTTGTCAGATGAGTAGATTGCAAAAATTTTCTCCCATTCTGTAGGTTGCCTGTTCACTCTGATGGTAGTTTCTTTTGCTGTGCAGAAGCTCTTTAGTTTAATGAGATCCCATTTGTCAATTTTGGCTTTTGCTGCCGTTGCTTTTGGTGTTTTAGACATGAAGTCTTTGCCCATATGTCCTGATGGTACACTAGGTTTTCTCTAGATTTATATGGTCTTTAGTTCTATCATCTTGATTAATTTCGTTAATAAAAATCAGTTTCAGTTTTATTATGCTAGCATTTCCACATTTTGTTTTATATCATGTTACATTTTTTTAACTGTTTAGTGGTTTGGACTGGGATTCAAATGAAGTCCATGCATTGTGATTGCTTATATCTCTTACCTATCTTTTAGTCTATAAGTTCTGCCATCTATACCCATCTCTTTCTCTCTTTGTGTTTTTTCAGTTGTTGTTGTTCAGAAAACCAGGTGTATTAGTTAGAATTCTCCAGAGAAACTAAAACAATATGAGATAGATAGATAGATAGATAGATAGATAGATAGATAGAGAGATGATTTATTATGGGAATTGATCTATGGGATTATGGAGGCCAAAAAGTCCCATGATATGCTATCTGTAAGCTTCAGACCCAGAAAAGCATATGATACAATTCTTCAGGCTTGGTCTGAAGGTCTGAGGATGCTGAGAGGCATGGGGTTGCAGGTGGAAGGAAATGGTATAAATCCTGGAGTTAGAAGAAGGCCCGAGAACCAGGAGGTCTGATATCCCAGAGTAGGAGAAGATAGATGTCCCAGCTCATAGAGAGACAGAATTTGCTCTTTCTACCAATTTTTCTTTTATTTGGGCCCTCAAGGGATTGGAGGATACTTATCCACATGGGTGAGAGTAGATATTTTTAACTCAGACTACTGATTCAAATTCTAGTCTCTTCCAGAAACACCTATAGCGAAACAACCAGAAATAATGTTTTACCAACTGTCTTAACATCCCATAGCCCAGTGACACATAAAGCTAACCATCACACCAGGTAATTTGTTCTGTTTTCCCAAGTCTGGACTTATTGTCTAGAATACAATTTTCTAATATAAAAATTGTCATGTAGACCTATTTTGTTTTTTAAAAAAATTTGGATAAATGATACAGATACATTGAAAAATACTTTTATAATGTATGCATTTTAAATTTTGAAAAGTTGTGCACATCATATTTACTTTTTATTGGAAAAAAAATTAGAAAAACCTTCCAAAATAACATCTCAAGAAAGTTTTCCACAGGATTCGTTAAATGACCTTATTAAATTTCTAAAGTGTTTGTTTTTCTTCATTATCTTTGATACTTGGATTAAAACCAATTTTTAATTAATGCAGAAAAATACAAATCAGAGCTGTGACAGGAACTTTCATAATGCTTAAGTGTTTCTTTACTGATTAGAGCAAATCCAAAGCAGTTATATTAATTTTTATAATTGTTCAGTTTTTTAATTAAATATTTGGAATAAAAACCAAATGGATATTTTTTAAAAACCCAGACACATATGATCTTATATAATCAAACTCTAACTACTACTTGCTGGTGACATTTCTGGATTCAAAAGCATCATTATTTGACCTCTGTGATTTATATAACTAGTCTAACTTCAGATTTTATCTCTGTAGGCTTCTGGGAATACTTCTAGAGATTCACAGTGAAAAATCAGAGTCAATGCATGAATTTCTACTTTATTGCATAAAAACAAGGGGACTATAAAATGTGTTCAAAGAGTAGAGATGGAAAATACAGAAATATAGATCACACATAACTTGAATCAGTTGATTCATCTAAATTGAAGATTCCTTTATTTTTATTTTTATTTTTTTGAGACAAGGTCTTGCTCTGATGCCAAGGCAGGAGTGCAGTAGCGCAATATTGGCTCACTGCAACCTCTACCTCCCGGGTGGGAGTAATTCTCCTGCCTCAGCCTCCCGAGTAGCTGCGATTACAGGCGCCTGCCATCAAGCCCGGCTAATTTTAGGGTTTTTTTTCTTTCTTTCTTTTTTTTTTTTTTAGTAGAGGGCGTTTTACTGTGTTGGCCAGGCTGGACTCCCTCTCCTGACCTCAAGTGATCTGCCTGCCTTAGCCTCCCAAAGTGCTGGGATTACAGGCATGAGCCACTGCGCCCAAACTCAAGATCCATTTAGAAAGTTATCTCCTTCATTAGAGATTTCCGTTCCCCTCTTGCTCTTTTTTTGACCTGAGTTTCCTCCGGGCACTTTAATTTCTGCAGTTGTGAAAACAGCTGCATCTTAAACAGAGCCATCAGAGAACTACAGAGGAAGCTACATTTGATTACTTTTCATGAGACAGAGTTAAGAGGGAAAGCTGGGTGAAGAGTATATGAGGACTCTCTGAACTATATTTGCAAATTTTCCATAAATCTAAAACTATTCCAAAAGAAAATTAGGAAACTTGGGTTTTATTAATTACTTCTAAGTAGCCAAAGGCTCTAGATGGCCGATTTAAGCATTGAAGCTTTAAAAATTACTATAGCAATTTTGAATTTGTTATGTTCCTTTCTGAAATTATTACTTAATTCTTTTCTAGTGAGTCTGGATTCTTACTCTTACCCTGTCTACAGTCTTAAACACGGCAATTCCATTTTCCATAAGACATCCAGAGGCATCTTACTAAATAGCAACACTTTTTGGACTTCCGTTCAAATATAAAAGATACAACAGACAAACTTCTCTTCCTCTTTCTCTTCTCTCATCCTGCAGGCTCCCACAGAACATGGATGACCACCATCACACTGTTTATGATGCTGTATTGCACTTGACTGCTCATTTGTCATCCTTATAATGTGGTAAATATTATGGACATAGGGGCCATTTGTCACTGTTTTCCCAACATCTACTGTAGTATCCTACGTATAAGGAGAAAACAATGAATGATGATGGTTGTTGAATGAAAAACTTATGACATCATAATTATTGGAATTTACTGGAGAATGTAGGATTATATCACACAAAATCCTATGCTTTTTAAACCAGTGGGTTTTCATGTTTTAGTTCTGTACACTGTTCTGTCATTTGTCACTTCTTAATCTTCTGTACCTGCCTGTTTATATGCCTGTCGTAGCTATATCTTCTTCTGATTTGATGATTTTCATGTAATTTTTGCTTTCTTCTCAAAAGAATATGAGACTGTTCTATTTGTGGCTAGAATTGTTTGATTCTAACTACATTAACTAATTCTATTAAAGAGCTGATTGATTAAATGCTGTTTAATTTTATAATACTATTGGTGTGATATATCTTCCTTGAATTCTTATTTTCAATCCAATCACCCATTGTTTTTACATTATTTAATAATAGCTTTATAATAAAGCAATAATTACTTTTCTAGAACAAACTGCTATCATGTACTATAAGCATGAGCTTACTAAAATAAGCTTAACCGTGTCTGTTTTAATGTTAAAAGCAAAACAAAACCAACAAAAACTTTAAAAATTAACAAAGATAAGTAAAAAAATTTCACCAGAAACTTCTAGTCTTGTTTATGGAAAGATCAGTACATCAAATTATGTTCTATCAAATAATCAGAATATTTGTGTAATAAAAACCAGAATGATTTTTTTTCTAGAATTCATAATGGCCAATTTTTATAAAGGGAAACCATGTGAATGTTGAATGTTTTTTTCCTAACTCACAGATGAGGAAACTGGTACATGAGAAACTAAATATTTGTATTCAACTCCTAATTTTGACCATTTTTAGTTATAATACCACCCCTTTTGGTTAACTCTGTTTTTAAGGCAATGATTATTTAATTCTCTCCCGCCTCAACACTTTTTTTTTTTTCAAATTGAAAACCCTCACACTGATGTGCTTTATCACACAATAGATTTAGCTGTGGTTTTCTTGTGAGGGTCTCGTGTTCTTGATGGTACCATGAGACTGACATTTATCTTCTCATTTTCCTTGTTAAATGTTCTCAGCAGAGTGCCTTGGACTGACAAACTGAAATACATTTTGATTAGGCAACATGAGCAGAAGGAGTGTGGGGAGAGAACTGTATAAATCTGTTTTACTCAACCTTGAAGAAATGTTAAGTGTTAATTCCCTGCATCAAATAGAGTACACCAAGTATATATGCAGCGTTCCTGAGAGCTTCCTAATGAACTGAAAAAACAAACAATCTGAGGTGGGAAGAAATACATTTCATCAACCCCCTGAGCAGCGATGATTTGCCTCAGCTTGTCATACATACTTGATTCTGATTAAAATAAGACAAATGAACTAGTTGAATCTTTCTTGTTAAAGAAATTGCATTTGTTGTTAGTAGAATTTCAAATTTCACGTAATATGGAATCTGTATGTTGATTGTTGTTATGGAGACTAGCAAGGTGCTGAAACTATTGAGCTGAGGAGCATATTTTAGTGACTATAACTGGTTTGAGAATTGGTTGCTTTTAAGTGACCCAAATGACCATGGTGATGAGATTGGATGTGAGAAGCCTGGATAAAGAGGCATTCAAACTTGTAATTAAAATAAAAGCTTCCTCAAATTACTCCACTCTTTTTCAACATTTCTTGTAGTTAGATTAGGAAACACTATGATGGTGTCTGATGTTTCAAGTAAGAAGGTACTGCACTGTTGGGGAAAAACAAAGACAATGCCGTGATTTCTAGAGTAACAGCCTATGCTACAAAAAAGAGATGAAGGGCATTAAGATAAACAGGGACAGGGATGAATAAGTAGAAGACAAAGGATTTTTAGGGCAATGCAACTATTATTTGTCATACTTTAATGATGGCTACATGTCATTATACATTTCTCCAAACCTATGGAATGCACAGCACCAAAAGTGAACACTAAATTTAAACCATGGACTTTGAATGATGATGTTTCAATGTAGACTCATCAACTGTATAAAGAAAACAAAACAGAAAAACACAAAACCATGTACCACTCTGTGGGGGATGTCAATAATAGGGGAGACTGTGCGTGTGTGCGGACAGGTGCTACATGGAAACTCTGTACCTTCCTCTCAATTTTCTTCCTAAATTAAGCCTATTTAGAATGCACTTATTACTTTTCAGTAGAACTTCTACAAACAAAAAAGTTGGAGATAGTTCCCAGACCCCCTTGGTTTTGCTATTCACGCTGTGAGTCTGAGTAGAAGACCATTTGGAGGCTTGTTTACATACTCTAGGGTGGCAATTAACAAAATAGCTTCCCAGGTTGTGAAGCTAGTTGGCATCTACTTTGAGAAATGATCTATACATGATTTTGACCAAAACTCTATTCTGCCCACATGATAAATTGAGATGATTTTGTATTTAGTAAAATGCTTTATGTTTCAGAAAGCAAGTTCAACATATAATCTTATATGATGTTCACAAGAACTATGTTTAGGTATGAGTATCCTCACTTTATTGATGAGGTTCACAAAATTTGTCACTTGCTAAATAACTAGAACATAAAACCTGACTTTCTGATTTTAAATCCAGAAGTATTCTACCATTTTGCTGCTTGAATTTTTACCTGATGTCATAATGGAAGTCACCCTGATGGAGAGCATCCTCTAGCAGACAAAATATCTACTCCTATATTCTGTTATTGACTCTTGCAACTTGCAAGCAAGTGGCTTTTCCTCTTTATGATCATAGATGGGCACATATCATGCATTTCAAACCCCATGTCATACACTGTGATAAAAAAAAAAATATTGTAACCTGGTGCAATAGGTCATGCCTGTAATTCTAGCACTTTGGGAGGCTGAGGCAGGTGGATCGCTTGAGCCCAGGAATACAAGACCAGCCTGGGCAATTTAGCAAAATCCCATCTCTACTATATATATATATGTGTGTGTGTGTGTGTATGTGTATATATATATGTATAAATTTAAAAATTAGCTGAGTGTGGTAGCACATGCCTGTAGTCTCAGGTACTTGAGAGGCTGAGATAAGAGAATCACTTGAGTCTGGGATATTGAGACTGAAAAGAGCTGAGATTGTGCCACTGCACTCCAGTCTGGGCAACAGAGTGAGGCCCTTTCTCCAAAACAAAAAACCCAACTATATATTAATATATAGTGGGGCCTTCTATCATTCCATCCTCTAATGTCATGCTAGGATTGTTTTTTGTGTGAAATCAAGTAATTCCCTTCCCTTTGTGTAATTTGGTTATAAAATCATTGATTTCTGGTTATAGATTTTGGAATGTTGAGGATTGTGCTAAAGAAAAACATTTAACGGTTATATACTTTTTATTGGAAGAAACCAACATGTTTTGTCAGTGGAATAATATTATAATCAATGCTTACTTATTGAGCTATAAATAGCTCATCCTTTTCAAGAGAAATGTGACATTTTATTTTTATGACATATAATATGTTATGGGCCATTTTAATTACCTGCCTATCCCACTCTGCACTACTCCCCAGGTTTAATTCAATTTAGTTAATGCCTCTATCTTTAGGGGAGATATATTATGAAGATACATATTCTCCCTAAGTTAATAAAGTCTATAGTGTCAATGCAATATCAATAGCATTTCCAAATAGAATTGTTTTTTAAAAATATAAAAAGACTGAAATGTATATACAAAAGTGGCTGGGAAAGAGGAGTAATGCAGGCAGAGAATGGTCTTATCAAATGTTGAATTGTGTTTTAAAGCTATAGGATCTTTGGCACTGGTGCAGATAGTAACTCAGCAGAGCAGAGTAGTCCAGGAACCCACATGTGTATTTGTGTATGTGAGGTAACATTTCAATTCAGTTGCTGAAGTTGGGATAACAATGGCTCACGTGGACAAGTAAAGATGGATCTCAGTTCTTACAACAAGTGAGACTTTTGCTTTTCACTTATACTATCTTGTCCTACTTCACATTTTTACTGTGTTTGTGTTTTATTTTTATAGTAAAAATTGTTTATTTTTTAAAAAGCTAATGACCTCATAATTTGACTCCCTTCTGTTGTGTTAATATCCACTAACTGCTGTTACATGAAAATGAGTGATTTGCTGTTCTAATGTTTTGCCCTGTGTATTTTGCTCTATGTAAACCTTGACTATTTATTTTTAAACACGGACCTTTATGTTGATTACAACATATTTTGCTTAAAAAACGCAAGACTCTCAATCAGGTGCTTTTGACAGGTAGTTTTAATCCCCTAATTTCCTTATCTTGCTTCTTGTTGACTTCTTGTTCCACTTTAAATCTCTGATTTTATAAAACTCAGTTCTCTCTTGTGATGCAATAACTGTGACCTTCATTACTGGCAAAGAAGATTCTGCTTACCATTTGATCTGCAGATTTGTGGGTTCCTTAGCTGAGCTTCTTACAGCTATGACTCAGTTGTCAATGTGGTACAACTTCCACTTCATTAAAATCTGGATGCCACTGGCAGCACTTCAGAACCACTATGTCTTCATCAAATAATGATTTGAAATGAACTTGCATAACTGAGATTGTTCTAGGATATCAAGATACCTGAATCCTTATGGAGAAAAAGTTTCCTAGAAATAAAATATTACCTGCCTGTCTCTTGGTGATATAAAAAGGTGCTTTACATACCTTACATACCTCTAATTTATCCTATAATGGATTTTATATAAAATAGGATAATTTCTTTAGGGAGGGATGTATGCACATATGTATATATGAATTTATGTATATTTGTATACACATATGTATATTTACACACAAAATATACACACATCACCTAAAAAACTATTTTAGGTTATGTAAGATGCTTAATAATTTTTTTTTTCTTTTTCTTTCCTTTTTTTTTTTTTTTTGAAGCAGAGTCTCGCTCTGTCCCCAGGCTGGGTTGCTGTGGCATGATCTTGACTCACTGCAACCTCCGACTCCCTGGCTCAAGTGATTCTCCTGCCTCAGGCTCCTGAGTAGCTGGGATTACAGGCACATGCCACCATGCCCAGCTAATTTTTGTATTTTTAGTAGAGATGGAGTTTTACCATGTTGGCCAGGAGGGTCTCGATCTCCTGACCTCACGATCTGCCCGCCTCAGCCTCCCAAAGTGCTGGGATTATGGGTATGAGCCACCATGCCCAACCAATAAATATTTATTATAAAAATGGAATACAAAATAGACTAGTAGCTTATAGTAGGATTCTCACCACAACTCAGAATTGTTATGCTGGGAATTTACATGGTTGTATTTAACTACTTAACTCTCACATTTACTATTTCCTCATCATTCTTTCTTGTTTCCTTCATCTAAGCTACCACCTCAGTGGGCTTTTTCAGTTGTAGGAAAGGAAATGGAATAAAAATGCCGCTGGGAAATTTTAACCTTTCTGTAAGACCTCTAGATGACATGAACCTCTAATGGATAAAGGCTGACAAAAGACAAATAAATGTTTCAGACTGAAATGAGGATAAAGTGTAAGGTCTACTGCTACTAGTAGATGTAAGCTTCATATGGATTTATCTACCACAGAAAAGCAAATCTACCTTCAAAATCCTTAATAAATATAGATGTATTTTTTAAACTAAAAGTTATGTGTTCATTGCTGAATAGCAAAACAAAAACTCACATCTAAAACTGAACGTCTAGTAAAACAATCTATTTCAAAATATTTAGGAATTATGAAGTTACATGTAGTAATGGATATTCTGTACCTTATGTAATAACAAACAGCACCTATGAAGTGAAATGTAAGATTGGACTTTCTAGCTTATTAGTTCTAAATATCAAGGTGGCTTGCATTTCTACCAATAATTTTAACTGTATAAATGTTATTTTTGTAAGAATATACTAAAGTTTATACTTGATATTTCTTTACAATATCCTAGTTGAAAAGATTATCTTCACAAGATTCAAGATTCTTTAAGAGGATAGTATTACAAAAAAGTGCAAATTGTGTAAGTGTAATTTGTAACTCTGTGACCAGAACACTGTCTAACACAGATATGTACTTATTAATTTTGTTTTAACAAAATCACTCAGACTGCATTCTCCCAGAGGAAGAGAAGAACGATCATCAATGGCAAATGGCATTTGCAGTGAAGCAGCACCAAGAGCCAGCTTCACGCTGGGGAGGGAACCCTACACCTCCTTCTGGTTTCCAGTGCTTTACACTAGCAATCCTCAATCTTTTTGGCACTCGGGACCAGTTTTGTGGAAGACAACTTTTCCAAGGACCAGGGTGTGGGGATGGTTTTGGGAAGAAACTGTTTCACCTCAGCTCATCAGGTATTAGAATCTCATTAGAAGCATGTAACCTAGACCCTTTGCATGTGCAGTTCACAACAGGGTTTGAGCTCCAGTGAGAATGTAATGCCACTGCTGATCGGACAGTAAGTGAAACAGGTGGTAATGCTCGCTTGCCTGCCATTCACTTCCTGCTATGCAGCCTGGTTCCTAAGAGGCTACGGACAGGTACTGATCTGCTGCCCTGGGGTTGGGGACCTCTGCTCTACACATTCAGAGAAACTTCTCTAGTAATGAACTGTAGAAATGATCCCTGAAAGCATTGTCCTTACTTATTAATTTTTGTTGAATAAATCAATACATCCTTATATTTGTGGTTGAACAGTCA